CGGGTGACCTGGTGGTGATGTGTCCCTCCCTGTGATACCCATGGCTTCGGCTCCACGTTTTGGCAGGCGGGGGAACAAGCTGCGGATCCAGAATGGCTGGTTGTGCCACCTCGCCCCCGAGATCATCCGGCAGCTCTCACCAGACACCGAGGAGGACAAGCTGCCCTTCTCCAAGCACTCGGATGTCTTTGCACTGGGGTGAGTCCCTGCGGAGCTGGCTGGCTGCGGAGAACTGGCACAGTTGTGTCAGGTGTGAGCTGCCCTTAGCAGCCAGGAGGGGACAGGGACACTGTTTGCTTACCGCAATGCCGAGGGGGTGCTGCCTGCGGGAGCCCCCATCGCTGGGCTTGGAGCCCCTTCCCACTTTGAGAAATTTTGAGTTAAACTCCCCTAAGTCCCCAAATCCTTTTTCTGCTACAGACCAGGTTGGCTCTGGCCAATGGGATCCGGGGCGTCCGAGGGATGCCAGCCTGGCCTGATCTCTCCCCTGCATCCTCCTGGGGCGGGTGCTGATGAGAAGGTGCTCTGGATGTCACCTGAGCATGCAGAGATTTGGGGACACAGGTCTGGGACACCCCGGATGTCCTGATTCCCCTCACCAGCTGGCTGCAGACGGGCTGGTGCCATTGGCTGCTGCTGCTGGGGGCAGGTGATGCCAAAAGGCCAAGAAGGGGAGAATTGCTGAATCTCCGTCAGCGAAGCGGCTCATCGCTCCGGCCGTTGATCTGAAAGCAAGCCTCTCTTAGGGCAGGAGCCCAGTCACACCCTGATAAAACCTCGCTTGAGGTGGGTGTAGGGCTGGGGGCTTTACTCTACGGATTAATTTTCTCATGGGTACCTTAAAGGCTGCAGGGATTAGCGTGCGTGGGGCTGTTACCGGAGCCGATATTTCCATCAAAACCACAGTAATTACAGCTGAAAGGGTCTGGCTTTTTTTCTCCCTCCCCGAGGTATAACTTTAGCACAAAAATAAAGAAGTAATTAAGGGATCATCTTGAACTAAGTGAGAGTCAGTTACTTAGACTTAGTTTTTCCTCTTTTTTTCTGAGTGTGAGCTCTGCCCTTATGTAAAGCATGAGTTTCCTTAAAAGATTAAGAGATTTTCCTACGTTTTTCCTCGTTTTTGTTTCTGCTGCCCTCCGCTGAGCCTGGGAGGCTCACAGATGATCCGAGGGGTTATTGTCATTACCGCTTCCCCGTAGGGATTTGAGGATCAGTGACAGCAAGAGGAAAAGATCTTTTAAAGACTTCAGAAGGTGGCAGAAATGTTAAATTAAAGTGTGTGTGAGAGTGTTATGGAGCTGGGGGCTGAGACTTGGCGGCATGTGCTTGCCGAAGCCTGAGAGATCCCGGCAAGAATTAATATTGGATGCATGGTCTTCTCGTGCAAAGTGAGACAGAGCAGCAGACTGCTCTCTGTAGCAGCATCCGTACCCCAGGAAATGCAGCCCAAATATTTTGGATGCATCTGAAAGCAAGAAGGTGAAAGTTGAAGCCCCAAAATTCCAAATAAAAACTTGGATTTAACTTCATTGGATGCAGTGAGGCACCTGAAAAATGCTTGCTCCTGCCTGAGCACCTGATTCTGTGCCACTGGGACCTGCCCCTCTCCAGCCCCCTGATTCCTCTGGTCCCACAACAACAACAGGCATCTCACAATATTCAAATTCTTGGAGATTTACGGCCATATTTTTCCAAAATCAGGACAGCTGATTTTTACAATCAGGCAGCTCCCCTATCTGAGAGTGATCCTTCATTTATCAGACCCCCTCCACCAGATTTTTCCACCTTAATACCATTTTAATCCTGTTTCTTGTTGCTTTAATTGGCCATGACAGCATCCCTTGAAGGGAAAAGCAGATCCAGGGAATTTGCCTTGGAAATCGGGGCCAGTGCTGTGGGAGTCAGGGCTTATCCAGCCTCCGGGTGCTGGAAAACGAGGATGCAAAACTCCCAGGTGGTAGCAGGGGTGGAGGACTGTGGGGATGTCCGCCAGCGCAGCTGGAGACGCCCTTGTTTTGGGATATTCCCTTGGATTTGGGAGTCCTCATGGAGAAGAGGGCTTGGCTTAGCGATAAGAGCGGTGCAGCGGCAGATGGCTGCAGGTTCATGTGTGTGCAATCACCTGGTGAGGGCACTGGCGATGGTTTGTGCCATGGCTTGGATGACTTTTTGTGACTTGGAGCATTTTTTTGTGGAAGAAAAAGGGAAAAGTGGGAGTGAAAGCAAGTGCTTAGGCTTGTCCTTCGTCGGCGCTCACTGCCCTGCGCAGCTGGAGCAGCTGGCAGAGTTGGAGATGCTGGCCCAGCATCTGGACCACACATTTACCCCCTGCATCATCTATTAAGCTGCTCCGCAGGCAGCGGGGCGAAAAGCTGTTGCAGCCTGGTGGGAGATTCCCATTTGATGTAACAGGCTGGCTGGCAGCTCTGCCCATGCTTCCCATAACCTCCATCCTCCTGCCCACGGGCCAGGTTCTTCCCTGGTGTAAACTGGGGGCTGTTGTAGACTGGCAGCTTGGTCTCAATCAAGTCGACAGCCTCAGTTTCCCCATCTGGAAAATGGGAGCTCTGATTTCTCTGTAATGAGCACTGAGCACCCCTGATGTCCAATCTGGGATGAAGCATCTCCTGGATGTTTGTGATTTTGGAGCAAGGAGAGATGGGGGATGTGGGTGCAATGGCCAGATGTCCCTGCCGCAGGATGCCTCCCAGCTCCTCCCACCTCTAATCCCCACTGTCTCCCAACAGCACCATCTGGTACGAGCTGCACGCACGGGAATGGCCCTTCAAGACGCAGCCAGCGGAGGCAATAATCTGGCAAGTGGGACGAGGGATGAAGCCCAACCTCAGCCAGATCGGGATGGGCAAGGAGATCTCAGTAAGTGCTGTGGGGCAGGCGCTGGAGCCCCGTGTGTGTGCATGGAGAGGGAAGGTGCCCCACTGGCGCATGCCCTAGGGGGAGAGTCCCTTTGAAAAACACTGTGCTGCCCAAGATCTGCCAACAAAAAAGCATGGGCTCCCTCCCTCCCTACCCCACTGGTGAGGGTCAGTCCTGCTGCACAAGTATCAGCTCAGCTTGCACGTCCCCTCCACCCCAGCCCTACACCAGGGTGTGGTGATGGAGACAAGGTCCTCATGGGATGGACACATCCCCTCCATCCCAGCCCTTCACCAGGGTGCGGTGATGGAGACAGGGTCCTCATGGGATGGACACATCCCCTCCATCCCAGCCCTTCACCAGGGTGCGGTGATGGAGACAGGGTCCTCATGGGATGGACACATCCCCTCCATCCCAGCCCTTCACCAGGGTGCGGTGATGGAGACAGGGTCCTCATGGGATGGACACATCCCCTCCATCCCAGCCCTTCACCAGGGTGTGGTGATGGAGACAAGGTCCTCATGGGATGGACACATCCCCTCCATCTCAGCCCTTCACCAGGATGCGGTGATGCGACACGGTCCTCACAGGGTGGACATTGGGCACGGGTGTTGTGGTGGGAGGAGGGACTGGCTCTGTTTGCTCATGCACTCATCCTGTGTGGTTGCAGGACATCCTCCTCTTCTGCTGGGCCTATGAGCAAGAGGAAAGACCCACCTTCACCAAGCTCATGGACATGCTGGAGAAACTGCCAAAGCGCAACCGTCGCCTTTCCCACCCCGGGCACTTCTGGAAGTCAGCTGAGTAAGTCCCTACACCTGCCTGCTCTGCCTGCATCCCTCAAGACCCCACCGTCCCAGCTGTATGGCTGGTGTAGTGCCATGGATGGGGGCAGGGACAGGTAGGAAGTGTGGTCAGAGTGCTGTGCCCATGCCAGCTGTCACTGCAGTGCTGGCTGTCCTCGCTGGGGTGAAAACTGACAGGAGTTGGAGATGATCAGGAGAAGCCTGTTGATGCGCTCCACCAACACTGGGAGGAAGAAGCAGGGTAGGTCCAGGGGCAGGCTGAAACCAGGACCTTGGGGACATCTGGTTTGGGCACATCTGCTTTGGAGACATCGGCCAGGACTGCAGCGCCTGCCTGGGCAACACGTCCAGAGCAACTTTCCCTCCTGGGAGAGTGTTATTCCTTCTTTTGCCCAGATTTTACTGATGGGGGTGCTGCTGACGGGTCCCTCCCCAGAGCTGCAGCCTGCGTCACCCATCGCAGCTTCCAGCAGTAGAAAAGCATGGTCTCTTCTTCTCCCACAACCAGCTCATGGCCAAGTCCTGCTCCGTTTCATTACTTTGGCTTAGTCACTTCTCTCTGCTTCAGCAGACGCAGCGTAAATGGGTCCCCAGTCAGGGTTTCAGGATCTGGCCTGTTGGCAACAGCAGGAAAAATGCAGAAGAATCACTTAGAAACTAATTTTCTTCCCTGGATTTCATCATATTATGACAAATAGGGCCAAAAACCTAAGCCCTGGGGAGGTTGCATGCACATGGGGGGATTTTTCCTTCTGCTGGCATGCATCCCCAGCCCAAGAACTGCAAACCAGGACTGGGGAGGGAGAGGGAAAGGTGAGCTAAGGGGGAGAAGTGAGGGTACTTCAGACTGCTTCAAGCATCCCTCTTGGACCCCACCGACAGTTAGAAATGCTGATTTCTCCTCCTGATCTAATAACCAAACTTATTTGTGTGGCAAGCACGGGTAGCCCCAAGGTTATGGGCACAGCTAAAGCTGCTGGAGTGTCCCCTGTGCCACCTCTCGTCCCCCTGTGCTTGGGGCTGACAAGGGGCTCCTGGGAACAGCACAGAGCCAGCGGTCAGATGGTCCCCAAATCACCCGGAACGTAAGCTGTTAATCAGGAGGGAAGTTAATTACCAGTCCGTGCTCGGAGCAGGCCCCAGGGTGGCTGCAGCAGCCGGGCAAGGAAAGCTGAAGGTTGATGAACCCCAAAGCAGCAGGCTGTGTAATTGCTTGGTCAGGTTTGGGAAGGTTTTTGCAATCACCGAGCCACGCTCTGCCTGCCACCGGCTTTGGCTGCCCGGCAGCTTCCCCTTAATTACCGGCCCCTTCTTTTGCTAAGCACAAGGGGAGGGAGGATGCTTCAGCTGGGCACTCGCTCTCCATCCGAGCTGCCTCCTTCCTCAGGGACTTGGATCCTGTGTCAGATCCCGGCTTCCCCGCGGGGTGCTTGCCCTGGTACCGGGTGGCTCTGCCATCCCTGCATGAAGGGGACAGGGGGACAAAACCCCCTCGGAGATCCTGCTGCTGGGAGAGCTGCTGTGGACGGGGTGAGGTGTGTGGTACCCAACAAGCCCTGTCCCTGGCAGGTGACACTGAACCTGAGAGACGCCTGCACCAGGAACACCCACTCCAGGCTGGCAGGGAGGTGCAGGAGCGCATGGCTTCCCACCGTGCCCCTGCATTCAGGGGCAGCTCCGTGGCAAAGCCGTTTGGGGAGGCTTTTAGCAACAAGCTGCCCTGCAAAACCCGCTGTGCCATGGGATGAGGTGTGCTGATTCCGCTGTGTTGTGTCCCTTCCAGGCTGTGACGGGAGGAGTTAAGGGATGGTGCCTTCCTCCCCCTGCGGTTCTCCTCTTCCTCTCTGCTTCCCAACCCGACGCTATGGAGGAGCAGTGGGTGCCGTGGGCCGACAGCGGAATGGGAATGAGCCTCCTCCCGTGCAGTGTTTCACCCTGTGAAGCTTCTCTGCAAGGGCTGGAGGAGCCGAGACGGTGGGCGAGCCCCGGAGAGCCCCCAGGGACGCCTGGCTGCGGTGGGATGGGGGTGGTGGACAACTCTCCGTGCACATGGGGTCGGGTTTTGGGCCGGTTCCCCGCTGAGCAGGGGCAACCCAGGAGGCAGATGCCTTCAATTTATCCCCGGGGCTCCTCTGATACCAGTCAGCATGGTCAGTGCTCATGATGCTCGGTTGGGGAGGCATTGCTTCTTGGTGGGTTTATTTAATTTCCTTTTTTTCCCTAAATGATAAAAAGGGGGAAATGTTGCTGATTCATGAGTTTAGTGCTGGACCCTGCCAGGGCCAGGGAGTGCTGCTGCTATTAGCTGTCCCCCGCGGGGAAATGCATCTGCAGAGCAGGAGCCGGAGGGGTCCAGCTCCCCCACGCCTCGGAAACCCCTTCCTGGGCAGCGGTGACCTTTCATGAGTGGCTTCTCTACCTCCCGGCCATGCCCACTTACTCTCCCCCCAGGTCTCCCTCTCGGCAGGGCGCATCTCCACATTCCTGTTAATTTAGCTGTTTGCCCTGATGTGTATCTAATCAGCCTTTCCCTCTCACCTCCCCCATGCTGCTTTGCCCTTGGCTTCGACCCACGCTCCTGAAAGTGCTGCCAAAGCCCTGGGTTTGGGGATGCTCTGGGGCTGAGTAGAGCAGAGCAGCTGAGGCTGGGGTCCTTCCCCTCTCCTGTTGCCTTCCCTGGGTTTGCTGCCAGAGCTGGGGATGCAGACAGGCTCTGGTTGTACAGAGCATCTCCCTTCCCAGCCCCATACATGGATGTCTCGTCTGAACAAGCAGCCATGCCCAGGACCGTTTTCCCCTGCATATTCATCTTCCGTCAGCCAAAACGTGGCCCTTCCCGAGGAGATGCTCTTTGGGCAGTGCCTCGGAGCCCGTGTTGCCATCTGAATACCATGTGCTGGTATTCCCCTCTCCCCGTCAGCTCAGATGGGCCCTCAAGCCCATTAGATGAGCTGTCAAGCGACAGATGATAGCAAATTGCGTTTTCAGGCCCTTATTGAGCATAATTGCTTGACAGGAACCATCCTGAATAATTCAGTTGTAGTCAAAGTTAGCTTTAATTTGGAGACATGATGAGGCTCTGCAAACTAACCAGCCCCAGTTTGTTTGCTGTTCCTCTAACTCCCCCTTGCCGGTGTTTGAACCGCTTTAGCATAAGTAAATGAAGATTAGGAACCTAATTGCCGCTCGGAAGAAATGTTACTTTAATTGTGGGGGAGTGTACGAAGGTGCTTTTATTTCTTAAAATTCGCACATGTGCATATGTATAAAATCTGAGGTGAGCAAGAGCAGGGGAGGTGAATCCAGCCTCCACGCATGCTGGCCAAGGGTCTGTCTGGGGGAGTCTCCTGCTGATGCCTTTGGGATATTTGCTGTGCCATGTGTCCGTACCTCGCTCTGGGGTGGTTTGCACAAAGTGGGGATGAGGCAGGATCACCTGCTTCTGCCTTTGATGCCAAGGGCAGGATGAGCCCTCGTCTGTGCTCATTGCCCCGCTGCACTGGGCAGCACAGGTGGTTTGTCATCCCCTGCGTGATGCTGCAGAGCTCAGTGCAGCTGAGCATCACCCCATCCAGGTGATGAAGAAGGAAGCTCCATGGCTGTTTGTCCTCTGCCTCCTCCACAACCCACCTCTTCCCTCACTAACACCCCCCTCCCATCTCCTTCATCCCTCCTCGGGCCACAGCAGCGATGTGCTCTGCCGCTTCCTGCCCATCCCAACCCTTCCCTTGCGGTCTCATGACCTCTCCACCCTCTGCGCATGCGCGCACGTGTGCCATAAACGTTGCACTAAGCCTCAGAGTCTCTGAGTTTTCACCAATGCCTTCACCTGCGGTGGTCCTGGGCTCTGTGGGAGGGAGCACCCCCCCATTGCCGGAGATCTCAGGTACCGGGGGGGCACAGGGAGTCTCACCATGAAATCACCGGTCCCCAAACCACATTTAGATGGAGCAATTGCTGTAGAAATGTGGGGACCTTTGGACCGGTGGTTTTAGTTTCTAAGTTGGCGTGAGCTTTCGAGGTGAGTGGTAGCAAGTGGAACGTGCTGGGAGGATGAAGAAGGTGGTACCACAAGTGATGCTCAGCCCCGGGGATGGCAAATTGCTGTAGCCTGATATGGTGGAAGGTACGACGTCTGTCTTGAAAGGTTTACTGTGGGCTTGCTCTTTGCCCAAGCCCTCTACTTGCCTGGGAAGTCTCACCTTGACCCATCCCCCCATGGGGACTCACCAGCTGTTGGCAGACGCCTGCTCTATGTTATTGCTCGAGACTCAAGGAAGCAGGTGAACTGATGAACGTGTTGGTTGGGTCACCCCATGGCGTCAGTTCCTCAGCAGGAGCACGGGGCTCTCTGCAGCGGCCTCGGCCAAGTGTTTCTCCCCTGGATTTTGGGCATCTGAAAGGCGTGAAGTGATCCTGTAGCCACATCTCCCTCCTCTTTCACTCCCCCTTCCCTCACCATAATGTCTCAGCCAGGCCATGAGCAGAGCCACTGCACAATAGTATCGATGGAAAAATAGCTGCCCTGTATTTATTATAAATTAGCTCAGAAGAGCAGCTCCTTCCCTTCCATTCATCCCAGCAACGGTTGTTTATGCAGCCGTGTTATTTGCATCATGCCTTCTTATTTTTGAAAGTCTTAATTATTAAAAAAAAAAAAAAAACCCAACAGATCTTACTTATTTGTTGTTGTTCTTGTTCTTTGTTTTTTTGACTCCGGCTTTGTGTGGGGTTTTTTTTTCCCCAGTTTAAAAATATCCAGTCCTTCAGCAGGGAGAGAATGTAGGAGAAGCTCTCCACAATGCCCTCTAATAGGAGATCCGAAGGAGCGAGAAGGTCCATCCGGTGGCCTAGTTTAGCTGCATGAGCCAGAGGAGAGACAGGGGTTATTTCCAGATGCACTGAGCGAGAGCAGAGCTGGTTTTAGCACAGTGGTGGTTTTGAGCAGCAGCTCGAGTCATCCCCAAACTCAGGGTACAGCCCTGGGCTCTTGTGGCGGAGC